AAACTAGAAGTGAAATTAAACTAAGAACTTTTGTTGTTGCCACATTCTCACAACAGCTGGTTAACTCACACAGAATGAATGTACATGGACAAATAAGTTATGCTCATTTTTTTATCAATAGACCCCTATAGTTTAGAGTGGACCTTTCAGTAACCTTACAAGTTCTTGACTTAATTCTTGACATGTCACATAATACATAAACAGTATAATTTTAAAAACTATATTTTATAAAAAACGGTCCCTACACTGCAATCAAATGACTTTGCCTAGATAGGAGGGAGCATTTTCTCGGTCTCCCCTTCCCCAGTGATCAGAGTGAAACATTGTAACTTTGTAAAAGTCACAAGGTTAGGGAACTAATAGCCCTGCATTGTACTGTACATGGAGGATGTAGGGGTGCGACCATGGCTAAGAGTACCTTAGAGAGGAGGCTTTGCGGTGCCAGATGCACAGATGGAGGGAACTTGTCAGGGCAAGGAATATGGTATTACTCTTTATTCCCCCAGGCAAAAAAAAATTAGCATTTAACCCTTGCAGTGCCAGGGAGGCCATTGCAAGGGTATTACTTTCAGCCTGGAGTTAGACTTTAGACATTATTTAGTATGCATATATTTAAAAGGAGAACGCCAGGAAAAAAAATTCTTCACCCTTGCTGTGAGGCTACCCCTGCACTGCAAGGGTTAAGAGCTCATTTTGTCTAGGGTGTAAAATAACAAAGTTATACTTACCGAACCTTGCACCCAAACCCTCACAAGAGGTTCTACAGCAGCTGTAGGTGTAGCAGGTGCTGACAGCGATTAAGCTATTTTTATAAGCCTCCTAATGGCCTCGGGAAAAATGCTGATTGCTCATTTTGAGGATGTTTTACAGAGCTTTTACAATTGATTTTGTCAATGTGAAGCACATGTTTAAAAGCACATGACTTCTTACAGTGCAAATAATTTCCACAATTTGTATGAATTTGATGAATCAGCATGAAGACTTGGGCACACCAATGATAGATAGTTTGCAGCCTGCATTACTGACAGGTATGCAGTCCACACATTTTGAATGACTCTTTCCCTTCCATAATACCATTGTTCCTTATAAATCTTAGTAGGTGTTTATATTTTGTGCATTTAGAAGCACTTGCAAATCTTTTTTGAAGCAATCTGCTGAATCGGCTTTGACCTGCTCCTCCTGTACATGACTAGAAAAGATGTTATCAAAGCCCTGCTATCCCGAGGAGTCTTCCTATGGATCTGACCAACCTACTGATCCCCACTACGTCTTATATACAATTGCACTGATGGGTAATCAAGGCACCACACCCCCCATAAAATCATACCAACACTTCATTTTGAAAAGGGACTTTTTGGGTGCCAGCATGTCGTTGATATTACATAATTACAATTCAAAAAAATGTATTGTATTCAATACATAAAAAAGACAACGTGTGATCTAAGACATTAAAAAAATTATTATATATGACAACCATCAAGAAATACAATTTTTAGGTTTTGCAAAAACACCTCTGCTTGCCACTTATGGGGTACACTAAAATTTACACTACATATCATATGAACCATATAAATAGCCTTGCCATGGTCCATTTTATGTTTGATGCTTTCAATGATGCTTCATCGGGAACAGAGGGGGGCTTGCTAGTGGTGACAGTAGTGGACTGTGCATGCTCAGTGAGCATCAGTATAGCCATGGGATAGCAATTGGGAGCTAGGGACAAAGCTTTGTCACCAATAACAGAAAGGACCTCAACAAGGACACTTATCAACAGGGCCATCCCTATAATGAGGCAGCTCAAGGTGGTTGTCTCAAGCGGCATCTCAATGGGGCGTCAGGTGTGGGGAGGTTGCTATGTGGCGGCCACAGCATTCCAGGTTGTTAAGCGTTCTTAGCAACCTGCAACACTCTTTCTGGTTTCCTGCCCAGCTTACTGATGTCACCAGTTGCCGGGATGTGAGTGGGACTCTGTAGCTGACATCCCACTGAGTTCTAGGCAAAGAGTGACGTCATTGAGCTGGACACCACCTGCGTCCAACCGGCACCAGACAGAGCCGCTGACAGCATGGCCTCCAACCCCCACCCCCACAGAACGATCATTTACTGATAACGATACCCCCACTCACCCCAGGGCCACAGCATCCTGCCGAGCTCCTGGCAAACAGCGACTGGTTGCCAGGAGCTCAGCAAGGCACTGCAAGCCACCCCGGCCGCCTCAAGTGACAAAAAACTAGGGACACCCCTGCTTATCAACCAAGTATTATTTTAGTGAAAGCTGTAGATGTAAAAACATTACAATTACTTTTGAAGTTTTATTAATACATTAAACCTGATGAGTTTGTTGTGATTTGGTTTACATATGATTTAAAGCAGAACTCTAGGTACATATAAAAGACATTTATTTTTTTTAATGCAAGCAGTGTAAGTACTTAAACTTGACCTGGTATGAGCTTCTTTCTATTGCATGTACAGCAAAGCTGAAGTGTGAGAGAAAGAAGCAGTACAAAGAGCCCATTAGTTCATGTGCTGAAAGGCACCATGCTGATAGGTAGAGTAAGCAGAGTTAAAGAAAGATGAGCTTATCGCTGTGCTGCTTCTCCTTCTGGACTGGACGGGTATGCACCGATCTGCTCACTTCCCGATCGTCTCCCGCAGTGAACGCTGACTGTCAGTCATCGCTCCCCCACAGGGATTCCCCCCTCGCCTCTCCAATCCTACAGCGCTGAGTGGAGGAACGAGCGTGGGAGGGGTGGGCACAGCTGGCTCTGCCTCTAGATAGGCAAAGCCAGCTGTCACTCACGCAGGTGGGTGGATCTCGAGAGTAATGTAGGGATCCGTCCCAGCTGCGGCGCTTACAGTATATTGCGGGCAATAGCCCACGATATACTGAGCTTTGGGTCACAGGAAGATGCTAGTATATGCCCTCCCTTGACCCTAAGGCCTGGTTCACACCTGTACGTTTTGTAGTGCGTTCAACGCTCTACGAACGCTCTACAAAACGCTCAAACATGAAAATCCCATTGTTTTCTATGGGTATGGTTCACACCTTGCCGTATTTCAGCCCGTCTGAACGCGCTACAAAACGGCCTACGTCTGAAAAGGTACATGAGCTTCTTTGCGGCATTTTTGTTGCGCGTTTCCATTGGGCTACAGCCAAGTAGCCCTCGGAAACACGCGTTTGTCGCACGTTTTTTTTACCGCGAATCACAGTAAAAATGCGCGTCACGAAGCGCGTGACAAACGCGCATATTCGATATGCCTAGGTGTGAACAGAGCCTAAAGAGAACTATGGGGAAAAACACTTACCCCATAGTTCTATTTTAAACTTTATACTGTATATATATTGTGGATAGCACTTATGACTAGGAACAATGGGTTCCTTGATTTGAATCTCAGCCAGGACACTGTCTGCATGGGGTTTCCTCAGCATACTCTGGTTTCTTCCACACTCCAAAGACATTGGCTCCTGTCTAAATTGGCTCTAGATTGTGTATACAAATTGGCTGGGGATGAAGAAAGACCTGGCGACCTACCTTGTAAAAACTCACCAAGACAATTCCATGGAAAAGACTCTGAAGTCTATCAAACATTGGCTAAGGCTGGGCACACACCTTACAACCATCGCAAGACTTCTGTCTTGCGATGGTTGTAAAGGGATTAAAAAAACGTACGATCTGCCTATCTTGGACAGGCAGATCGCACTCTCGATCATCGCAAGCCCACCCCCCTGAGGGGCGGGCTTCCGATGACCGCAATGCTGAACGGGCAGTGTGCGCGTGCGCACACCGGCCCGTTCAGCATTTATCTTCCGAGCACCGTTCTAACCAGCCGAGAATCGTACGATTCCCGGCTGGTTTTCGAACATGCTGGTTCGACAGAAGACGTGCGACCGTACAGTAGAAACGGTCGCACGTCTCCGTTCACACTGCGCGATTATCGTACGAAAAACCGATCGCAGACGATTATCGTACGATAATCGTCTGCGATCGGTTTTTCGTACGATAATCGCGCAGTGTGAACGGAGACGTGCGACCGTTTCTACTGTACGGTCGCACGTCTTCTGTCGAACCAGCATGTTCGAAAACCAGCCGGGAATCGTACGATTCTCGGCTGGTTAGAACGGTGCTCGGAAGATAAATGCTGAACGGGCCGGTGTGCGCACGCGCACACTGCCCGTTCAGCATTGCGGTCATCGGAAGCCCGCCCCTCAGGGGGGTGGGCTTGCGATGATCGAGAGTGCGATCTGCCTGTCCAAGATAGGCAGATCGTACGTTTTTTTAAGTACCTTACAACCATCGCAAGCCTTCTGTCTTGCGATGGTTGTAAAGGGATTAAAAAAACGTACGATCTGCCTATCTTGGACAGGCAGATCGCACTCTCGATCATCGCAAGCCCACCCCCCTGAGGGGCGGGCTTCCGATGACCGCAATGCTGAACGGGCAGTGTGCGCGTGCGCACACCGGCCCGTTCAGCATTTATCTTCCGAGCACCGTTCTAACCAGCCGAGAATCGTACGATTCCCGGCTGGTTTTCGAACATGCTGGTTCGACAGAAGACGTGCGACCGTACAGTAGAAACGGTCGCACGTCTCCGTTCACACTGCGCGATTATCGTACGATAATCGTGCAGTGTATGGGCACCTTAAGAGTTGGCTATCACACACGTATACTCTGTGCATTACCATCTTATTCCAACACACACAGGGACCATGGGGAACAAAAGTAGCCACCCTCCAGAAGGAAAGACAGTGTCAGCACCAATTCAGAGATGATTTGAGAATCTACAGCCCAGTGATTCACAAATAAGATACATTTTTGTTAATAGTTAAGGCACTTGATTGCATTTTTAAGATCTAACTCCTTTAGTGTCACTTTAAGCTTATGCTCTTCAGACTTTGCCATGCACTATTTCAACATGGTCATCCTAGATGGAATCTTATAGCTTCAACTCTATGTTACCTTTACTTAACTGTTTTATTTTATGGAAGATGTTATCCATACCTTGTTATGCTTTTGCTGGTCCCTTGTCTTGGTATCCAGTATGTGATATGGACTTTCTGATTCCTTGTTAAGGTAATAAACTAGTCTTGAGGGCAGTGTGATCTCTCTGTGCACTTCATTGCTCTGGCTGTGATTCGGGCTCTCTGTACTGCTGCTGTTACGTTGAGATGCCTGTTCTTCTTCTGCCAGTGTGCCAGCAGTAGCAGTCGTATCATTGTGGTGCGGAGCTTAAAAACAAAAATAAAGGTAGTATTCAGAAGGTGGATGTAAATAACATTAAGTGCATTAGAGCAATATATCAGTAAATATAATTTATTTGATACAATTAAATAAAATATTTTCTGAAAATGCTATTTGCTTGACTGTCATGCTGATTCAAAGGTTCCAATACTTTTAATGACCTGGAAGAATGTGTTCAGGTCAGATGTTCCGTTTTCATTCCTAGTTCACTTGCTGCATGCTTGTTTCAAGTCAGGTATTGAAAACAGGATCAGCAAGACAGACAGGCAACTAGCATTTTTAAAAGAAAGGCAGCTCCTTTATGTATCTTAGCAAATATTAGAAAAAAAACTGTAATCCTATTAAGTTCTGCATTCAAAAAGAATTGAATTTGTATTTAAAATACTGATAGAATAATTACCTGGGATCTAATTTCACTTTAGCATTCCATACACCCATGAACACCAGAAGGTGTCTGGAATATACACATGACATAGGTATGTCCCCCTTAGGCTGGGTTTACACATGAGCGACAGCGTTTTTGCGCGTTTTTGATGCACGTTTTTGCTGCACATTTTTATGCGTGTTTTATGCGCTCTGGCATTGTGAGGCAATACCACGGTGTTAGGTGGCCTCAAAGTCACCCAGGGTTCTCAGCCAGAGGGGCTGAGTGGCTCCAGGAAGAAAGTACGTGTACCAGGAGAGAACTGCCTTTTCAGTCCTTTCCAGGTTTTCTGGATCATAGTTGGGATCCTGGAGCCAGGAGATTTCTTAGAGCTCTGGGTGGGACGAAATCTTCATTCCTGGGTCCATGCTTTGGTAGTGACCAGCACCTGATTGTGCACCTGTGTACATCCCTCATGAAGAGTGTGCTGGGATGTGTTCAGGGCCCCACCTGTGAGTCAGGAGAGCTCCACCCTGGAGTCAGTGTGGAGGCCAGTGCAGCAGGGAGCTGGCATGTTATTGCCGTTGTCTGGAGGAACCAGACAGTGGCCCTAAAGATTGAGGCCGGAGCAGCAGTGCTGCAAGAGAGACTTATGAAAAGACTGGGACACCTTGAGTGTATGGGACAACTCGAGGATTATATGCTGTTATATGCTACAGAAAGCTATTTATGTTGGATTTCGTGTTATCTAATGTTTTGAAAGCAAATAAACTGCATTTTACTTGCACCTCCGGTCTACAGTGGAGTGTCCTTGTTACAGCGCATACATCAAAACACACATTTTTGTGAGCAGGTTGTAGCTCACTGATGTTAACACAGCAACCGCGCATTTTCAAACAATTCCTTTTGAGTCTATGGGGCCAAAACTAGCTGTAATATACAAAAAAAAAAGCTCCTGTACTTTTTCCAGCGACAGGCGTTTTGCTTATTGCGACAAAAGGCCCCAATGTGAACAGGGCCATAGAAATGAATGGAATTATTTGGGGGGCATATTTTTAGAGCGTTTTTAGGGCACAAAAAGCGCTCACTGTGAACCAGGCCTAAGGGCTTGTTCACACCAGCAGCAGACACTGGTCCTATGCAAAATGACAAGCAAGCAAAAGAACCAGAAACCCTAATAGTGCACAACTGATGAGGTACTGTTGTTTTCTCCCATTCAGTCCCATATCAAAGCTCTCTACTATATACTGCTGTGAGTGCAGTCTTGTTTATTGTCTTAATAAAGTACCTCATCAGTTATGCACAATTAGGGTTTCTGGTCATTTTTGTTTGCTCATCGTTTTGCATTAGTAACAGGGTCCCTTTATACTGCATCCAGAATCAAGTGGAGGATCCTTACATCTGCCTGTGTTGCCCCTGACACCAGGCTGAGGAGAGATCCACTCGCATGCTCTGCTTGCGGTGATGACCGGTCCTGCTTCCATGGTTTTCTCATTACATGTTCCTTCACAAGTTTGTGAATGCATCTCTCTCTTTTTTTTTTTTTTTTATTATTTTATCTTTTATCCCTGTGTAATACGCTAGGTGTTGCGCGTGGTGTTTTTCTTATCTGCTTCTTCTGATAACCATATATCTGTATCCAAATTAGTATAGAATCAACAGCACATTGGAAAAGGTAATTTACAGGGTTATTCACAAAATGTGAAGAGTGTGGAGAAGGCAGGTGAAGTGAACAATCTAGGACAACATAGCTGATTTAGATAAATTCTCCAATTCAGCTCACTTTCCAGTTCAGCTATGTTGTCCTAGATCAGGGGTGCCCATAAGGTCGATCGCGATCTACCAGTCGATCGCGTAGAGATCACTGGTAGATCGCCATGTCCTCTCCTCCCGCCGCTTCTCTGGATCCCCGCTGCTCTCCCCAGCGGGGATCCGAGCCTGCGCAGCCCACGCCCCCTCCCGCCCCTGAATGCAGGTGTTTTTTCGTTGGTAGATCTCAATGAGCTCGTCATTTGAAAAGTAGATCTCCAGATGAAAAATAGTGGGCGCCCCGTCCTAGATTGTTCACTTCTCCTGCGTTCTCCAAACTCTTCACCTTTTGTGAATAAGCCTGTAGGTTATGTGCAGAGCCTGTGTTTTTAAATGTCTAGAGCACTGCAAATGTGAGATCTCCCTTTTAATAATTCCTAATTCTTTCCTCTTCTCACAGAATTGTGTGTTCCAGCATCCTCTGTTGCATTATGTAGGATATAAATACATTTTTAAAAATCCAAGAGGTGGAGCAAGACCTGTATTGCCCAAAGCAGGTGTACAGACGTAGGAGCTCAAGCACAGAAATCTTACCAAAAAAAGTCTCTGATGAATACGTAATTGTTTGGTAGTTTTTCTCTCCAGCATCTATCAAAAACCGAAATATCACTTTTGACTGAACTGACCCTTTAAGAAATTTAACTGAGCACATCAGAATGGTAGAAGCAGTGTAATTTACTATGAGGTTTTTATGTTTTAATATTGTGTGCATCGATTAGTCAGAGTTTATAAATACATTATACAGACTTATGAGAGGTAGTCACTTTCTTGATTTTATATCTTCTTTGATATGCTTTAGCTGCTTGAGGGTAGTTAATGTTTCTGCATTATTGCTAAGTTTATGTTGCTGTATTTGCTATTTTAAGATTTGTGTTGACAAGTAACAGACACTGCAATAATTCTACTAGTCCAGTCTAGTCTTCAACATATTAGGTTAAGCCATTTGAGTGTCCCCAAGATAAGTGTTAGGACTTATCCCTGGGCCTGTAAATGTTCCTGGAGGTCTGTAACAAGATCTTTCCCCTGGCTTAATATAAGATCATATTTATCAGTCTCTAACTGTCCTGAGGTTTAGTAACATGGTCTACCGTCTTCAGGGTCTGTCCTAAGGGTCTGTGAAGACCTTTGACTTTATTATTACCCACAATTGCATTGTGGCTTTGCAATAAAAATTATATTTATTTTTTTATTAACAAGTGTTAAAAAAGAATTCAAAATGATAAATGTACCACAGTGGACAGCTGGACCTAGAAGTCTTCTAGAGTCCAGGAATATACAGGTTTCTTAGATTGGCAAACGCCTTTTAAGGAACAAAGACAGACACCACTAAAATGAAATGCCTAACTCAAGCTTACATTTTTCCCTTCATTAAAAAAAAAAAAAAAAAAAGGAGAAGTAAAAAGTTAGGTTTGAATTTCTGTATGGGACCCCATTGGGGAGATTTATCTTACTTCCTATCCATTTAAAATGAAAAAGGGGGGGGCGCCTACAGCACAAAAAAACCTCCAAAAACACTACCAGAGGTTCTAAGGCATTTCCACAAACATATTTTGTTTTGGTCTGTGTGGAAGTAAGGGGAAATCTCCACCGATGGCAATAAAAACCTGACTGTGGCTCTAACGCTTGTCAGCTTTCTGGATGCAGTTGGGCTTTACATTTTACTGAAGCTTACAGACTTAAGACAAAAGTCTTAAAAATGATTATTTGTTACTGGTACAAAGCCTTATGGTATTAGATTTAATGTCATAGCTATACCATTAGTTCTAGTCTCCTGTTTCCAGTAACAAAGTCCCTTTACTTTTCTGGGAATGCAGGCATAATAATGTTGTAGATAGATGTCGTCAGCACTCCAAATATGACAGAATACATCAAGGTTTTAGTGAATCTTCATTTTTATTTTTGAAGTCACTTAAAGTGGAAACTGGAAGTGACTTCAAAAATAAAAATGAAGATTCTGTCATATTTGGAGTGCCGATGACATCTACAGGTGAAAACTCGAATAATTAGAATATCGTGCAAAGTTCATTTATTTCACTGATGCAACTTAAAAGGTGAAACTAATATATGAGAGACTCATTACATGCAAAGCAAGATAATTCAAGCTGTGATTTGTCATAATTGTGGTGATTATGGCTTACAGCTCATGAAAACCCCAAGAACCCCAAATCCACAACCTCAAAAAAGTAGATTATTACATGCAATCAATAAAACACGGATTGTACATAGAACAATATCGGACCTCCTGAAAAGTACAAGCATGCATATGTACTCAGTACTTGGTTTGGGCCCCTTTTGCAGCACTTACTGCAATTACTTTTGCACGATATTCTAATTATTCGAGTTTCACCTGTATATACAACGTTTTACCTGATACGGCGCCATCCGTAGTCATTGCGAGCACCCATTTTTCCACATAGGAAGTCCGGTAAGGTGTGATATAGGTCCTTGGACATTTGCAGGCATATTAAGCCACACCTTTTTATAGCTGAAATTCTCTTTAGGGCCACATTAGTAAATGTCCTCCTGTGACCCAAAACTCAGCATATGCTGACAGTGCAGAGCCGTGTTGTAACCGGGACAAATCCAGACAATACTGTCAGGATCCACTCCACTGCCTGATTGACTGCTTGCTCTGCCTCTCAAGAGGCAGAGCCAGCTGTGCCCGCCCCCTCCCCAGTCCGTCCCTCCAGTCAGTGCTGGAGGAATGGAAGGAGGAGGGTGGAATCCCTGCGGTGACTGAGAGTCACTGTTTTCTGCAAGGAGAAGATTGGGAACTGAACGATCAGTGGTATGTAATCGCTCAGCTCCCGATCA